TTTTCTCATAATTTTTTTAATTTAAACAATTCTTTAAAGTGTATTTAATACTTATATGTAGCCTTAAGAGTTATATATACTACCTCCGGTACACATATATGCAACTTTCGCCAAAAATAGAAATTTCACATTAGAGCAACTACAATGGTTGGCTAATTCATATAGCTTGTTATGCCAAACCATCTTTTTAAGCTACAACAATTCTAGCTATTTGTTGCTCCAATGGTTAAGCTAGTTATAAATTAATTTATTTTTAAATTTAAAATATTTTTTATCTAATAAATATCTACCAAGCTAATTAGCTCTACAAAGCTAATTTGCTTGCCAAAGCTAATCAGCAAGATGTGCAACAATGGTATAGCTATTAGTTTAAGAGTTTTAATATTTGCAAGCTAGTCCCTTTTTTAACCATTGGAGTTACTCTTAGATGCAACTTTCCCATTCTTTCCTTTTTTAGTAAATTTTTTTAAATGAAATTCCTCAAATACCCTTACTCAATATATCATAACACAATTAAACAACTAAAATCAGAAGTCATTAAATAATTTAACTTAACTAAACATAATTCTTCTTATCAAATTTAATTCACCCCAAATAAAATCCATTCAACTTTCATCCATTCATCTTTCACAACTCCTCCGACCACCACCTTCAACGTCATTAACCACCACCACCTTTAACGTCACCGGCGACCACCACATTCAACGTCACCGACCACTAGGGGTCCACCACCACCTTCAAAGTCACGCGTGCTATCGTTCTCTATTGCGCATATCCTTTTTCTCTCTATTATTCTCTTAATCAAAGTGATAGAGTATAAAACATATTCTTGGGCCTCAACCATAAGTTTAAACTGATGGTTGAAGCTCAGGAATATGTTTTATACTCTATCATGGGTGGGCCTGTGTTTTCATGTGAGAGGGAGCGAAAGAGTATAAAACATATTCATGGGCCTCAACCATTACCTTAAGCTTTTGGTTGAGTTGGTCCTCTAACATGGTATCGGAGCCAGCGTGACACAAAGGTCATGGGTTCGAATCTCAGCCGCCCCTCCTTCAAAGTGGAATTAATTCGCGTCGGGTATGAGAGGCCCCGTGTTGCATCCACATTTCAAGCCCAAAGGGCCTTTCATGTGAGGGGGAGTGATAGAGTATAAAACATATTCCTGGCCTCAACCATAAGTTTAAGCTTTTGGTTGAGTTGGTCTACTAACACAAAGCTTCAATCAAATCTTTAGATCTCATGAACTAAGGGTGGTTGGCTGGTATCGGGTGGTTTAAGAGGTTTTAGGTAGGTTAGAGTAGATTGAGGTTAGTGGTGGAACGTTTTAACTGGTTTTGGGGGTTTTCGAGGTGGGTTCGACGAGACTTGGTTGGTTTGTGGTGGTGTGGGTTCAGGGTGGTTAGGGTGAGTAAGGGTGGGTTGGAGTGGTGGTTGATGATTTCTGGTGTTTTGGGGTGAGTGGGGGATGATTTCGGGTTGGTTAAGGGTGGATCTGGGTGAGCATGCTGGTTTTGCAGTGGTTTTGAGTGATTAGGGTGGTTTTTCCGGTGGTTCTAGGTGAGTGGTGTGGGTTTTGCAGTGGTTCTGGGTGAGTACGGTGCTTTTGCGGTGGTTTTTTTTTTTTGGTGATCCTAGCGAGTACGATGAAGTTTTTGCGATGGTTCTGGGTGAGTGGTGGTGGTTTTGCGGTGGTTCTGAGTGAGTACGAAGGTTTTGCGGTGGTTATGGGGTGAGCGGAGGGTGAAGTGGTTGCCAATGGGTTGCGGTTTGACTATGGTGGGTAGCCTAGATGGGAGTGATTGCTGTTGGTGGTTGCTGGTTAATTTTCTCCATTCTCTCTCCTACCCTTAAATACATACTCTTTAATTCATTAATTAACTACTTCCTCTGTTCTTTTTTATTTAACCTGTTTCTTTTATCACGCTTGGCAATGCAAAAAATTTAACAGATCAATGACTTAAATTCTACTCCTTAAGTAAAAAATTATTAAAAGTTATATATTATGATAGTACTTAGTGAGACGAATCCAAAAAGATCATACATAAATATATTTTTTTCTTACATATTATTTACAAAAGATGGTCAAAGGATGGGTGGTGAATAGTGTAAAAGTCAAAGCGGGTCAAGTAATAAAGAACGGAGAAGTATTTTATCTTGGGTTCCGTGAGAGCTCCAAAAATTGGATGTAATGTGTACCGGAGGTAGTGGTATTTTTTCTTTTAATTTTTTTTTTAAAACTGAGACAATTCACAAATTTCGAAAAATAACTGAAAAATAGAGAAATCGGGCACCCATATAAAAGTGGGCACTAGGCAGAATGACAGGTTACTTGGAGTAGTAATTAATGTGGGAGTCCAGAAAAAATAAATGAAAAGGGAATGAAATACCAAGATACTCGTGATTACTTTAACCCATTATTTCTGTTTGCTAGTACTATTATTACGAATTTTTGGCTTAGTAATTAATTTTACTGTTTATCTTTATGGCATCTATTATCTCTCTCTATGTTAACAATTTTTATGGATTTTTTTACCCAATATAGAGGTCCACTTTTATCCTTAGCTTATCCAACTAGGTGTACAATTTGGTCTGCCATGGCTTTTCCACTGGCCCATCCACGTATTTGTCCTTACCATTGCTTAAATTTTATTTATTTATTTATTTATTTTTAATTAATATGGTTAAAAAAAATTGTTCTCATGACTTAGCCATGTATACCCGATCTAGTTTAAAAGGATAAATGTTTATTCGTTTAAGAGTTGGTGCCGAAAGAAGGTGAACAAATTAGACCCTTTGAAAGTTGGGTTATTAGCGTATAAGAAAAATCTCTCTTTTCAATGTATTCTTTGTGATATCTGATCATATATTTTAAAGGGTACAAACTTTTAGGATTAGATTAAGTGCCATCTGATTCATTCCTGGTTGTTACTAGTTATAACAATTTAACATGTGACAATACTTAATTGCAATGTATTGAAGTGTAATCATTTGTAGCAGTTGGAATTTCACAAAACGTATAAATATGTTGTTGGATTAAATTATATTGTTTCAGCTGTGTTAGTTCTCGTGTATGTAATGTATGATTTATATCGTGTTATGTTTCTAAATGATGATTTTTGTGAAAGTGGATCCTATGGAAATAATGCTACTATCTATCAACGTTCATGAAAAGAATGAGAGTGAAGGATAGCTCAAATGGTTAGAGCTTCCCTCTCGATTCCAAGAGGTCCTGAGATCGATTCTCACCCCGTACTTGTGGCTCTCTAAACACCAAAAAAATTCATAAAAAGAATACTACTATCTATCAACATTCATGAATAGAATGCTACATAATCTTGTGTTTCTCATGTCTTTGATTTCTTTCAATTATTTTTTTTGGTGAAGTTTGATTTAAAATAAGAGGGGAAAAAATATATAATAAACCATCTAAGCCACATGTTACTCCCTCCGTTTCAAAATGATGTTCCTGTTTTGTTAATCGATGTAAATTTTTACCCAACTTTGACCGCAAATATCTTTAATCTCACAATAGCAAAAATTATAAAAGTTAGATATTAATAATCTACTCACCAAGACGAATCAAACTAGATACCACATGTCTATATTTATTCTTATAGATTAAGAGAAATTTAGAAGATTCTCTCTTTCTTAAAAAAGTCAAAGATTTCAAACAGGAACATCATTGTGAAACAGAGGGAGTATTTTAGAAGAATAAGTTTTGCATGAGACCAAATTTAATTTGAGGCCCCGTTCACTTCACCTTTTTTTTGCTGAACTTAAATTATTTTTTACTGTGTTTCAAAAAAAAAAAAAAATTATTTTTGCTGAACTTAAATTAATTTTACTGAACTGAAATTATTTTTGCTGAACTGTTATTTTTACTGATTTTATAATTCTTATTTAAGAAAAACTGAATCTTACTGAATTGAACTTATTTTTACTGAACTAAAATTATTTTTACTAAACTAAAATTAATTTTACTTAACTGAACTTATTTTTACTGAACTAAACTTATTTTTACTTAATTTTATTTTTGTAAGGTGAGTGAACAGGGCATGAGTCTAATATATACTTCGTATGACTTAGTAATCTAATTTTCTTCAAAAAAAAAAAGTAATCTAATATTTGGCATTTTTTTAACTTAATATGTGACATTAGTAATCCAACATGAGAAATCTAATATCTGGCATTTTTTCAATAAGTCTTGTGCAAGACGAATTTACGTTACTTTTATTGTCAAAGGGTCAGTTTGAAGGTAAGTTTAACTATTTTATGGTAACTTTAATCACTTAAATGGTAACTTTTAATTTGTCGTTGGTTTAAATTTTATTTTAATGTGTAATTTCTTATAGATTCATGATTACAAACTGCAAAGGCAAGTATGAGTAATCTAATACATTATAAATTTTTTATAACTTAAAATTTATTATTAGAAAAATAATAGTAACTTTGTAATATAAAGGGTACCTTTATATACTTTTATGATAACTTTAACTCGTCTTATAATAAATTAACGTACACCTGTCTTTTTGGAGAATTTGTAAATAATCTAATATCAGATATTAGATATATTGGACTCACCATGAGTCTAATTCACCCATTTTTTTTTTTTTTTTTTTCGATTTTAGAATCAATAACATGAAACAAGTCTTTTAGTATTTTTTAGTTGACACGTTTATACTTTACTTATTATCCACTAATTCTACCCTAACTAGCTTTTGTAATTTATTAATTAGAATAATTGTCATGTGAAATTTATCCTATCTCAATGTATATTTTCAAAGTATCACTACTACAAATCCCGTGATTTCTGGACGCTTTACTCTCGACGCTGGCCTCTTAGCGTCAACATGAAATTGTAAACTCCGTGTTTAGTCGACGCATTTTTCTAGTCTAGAAATTTGTGGACAATGAAAGGCGTCGAGGATTCTACATGCTTTGCACGTGACCATAATTTTCAGCCCACTCAATAGTTAACCGCCCTTCTACACAAAATAACCCCTGTAAACTCTCTGATTCTTTCACAACGAACCCTAATTCGCCGCCAACCCTTCTCCAATCTTCACATTTCATCTCTAAAGACATCGAGATTCCGTGAATTCGGCTAGAAAACTGTGAAAATCGCATCTCTTCGTCAATATCGCCAACTCAATTCATGTTGTAGTAACATCCTTGCTGTTGTTATCGATTGATTTTGCTAGTTTTTTGCTTATATCTCATTGAAATTTCTTTTATTTATCTTGATATGTGGTTTCTTTTTGTTCAATTGAATCTAAATTTATTTTAATGTTGTGTTTTTCTACCGATTGTTTTTGGTTCTTTGGGATTTATCGGTTGAAATTGTGTTACAATGGGACAGATAAGTTTTCAATATGAAGCTTCAATGATGCTCCAATATCGTCTAATTATAAGAGGTATTGAATTTTTTCCCCTCTCAAGTTTACATTTTTAGGATTTTTAAAAGTAATTTATCTTAAGTTCAAATTTTTCCAGATCATGTTGTTGAAGTTGTTCTAGGTTCAATTTTTTTTTCTTTTTTTCCTCTCATTTTCAATTCTTTGTGTTATAAATAATCCGATTTTTGCATTTGTACTTCAATTCGTACAATTAAAAAAATTCCCAATTTTTGTTTTGTACTAATAGCTTCAGTCTCCTCCGATCCACCTCTTGCACATCGCACAACTTCCGACGCTGCTTGCTACAATATCTTGGAGTTATTAATTAAGATATATTGAGTCAAATTTATCATTTTAGTTATCTCATAATTGTTCTGATAGTATGATCCTTTGTTTTCGTATTCTTTGTAACTTAACTAGTAACAGAGATATTCCCTCTTCTTTCTTGATCTGTTGGGTGTTATTATCTCTGAAATTGTGTAGATTAGGCTTGAATTTCCTGGGATTTAACTAATCAGGTGGTTGTTAGTTTAATCTTGTGAAGATGGGGTGAAGAAAGCTTGGGGTGGGTAAGGTGTGATTGATATAGTGGGAAAGTTGAGTTCTTTGGGAAGCAAGTTAATGGACTTGGGGCTCCAAATTGAACAAGCAGAAACAACCACTCTCGAAAAAAATAAGGTGGAATTTAAATATTGTACCATTTTACATGATTATTTAGAGTCTTAGAGATATATTGATGCATTATTTATCCGGTTTGTCTTAGCAATTAACTTGCATGAAAACTGCTGTTTATGGTTGAAATGCACTGTAATTGTTCAGACGTTAATAAGCTTTATTTAAACTAGAAACTGCAGAAACACCATGTAGATGATTGCCCTCTTTCTAGTTTTAATTTTCGCGAAAATGCAAAGCTCCACTATGAAACAAATGGCCCACATGTATCATGGAAATTAGCAGTGAACTTGTATATTTTATTTTGCTGTATAGTGCATGCATTCTTCAAGTGAGGTTTAATTGCAGCAAATTAGAATGATTGATACTGATGATGACATTTCTTGGTGCAATATTTTTAGTTGGGTTTAGCTTGTAATATTGTGCATTAAGGTAGTGATAGAAAGTTTTTTTTTTTTTAATTTTTTTTTACTGTATATTCACTTTATGTTACAATCCTTGAAGCTCGATTTGTTGTATGGGCGTCGCTTTCACCCTAGAAAGCTACTGTTGTGTAGAAACAAGAAATTAGGGGTGGGATTAATAGTGCATTGTTATTTTATACAACAAAATGATGACATGAGTTAAATGTGAAATGCAAAATGTAAAACGTTACTCCGTAGTATATTGAGCTGAGGAGTTGTAGATTATCATGATCCCTTGCTTGATCTTTGTTTGAAATGCTTGATTTCTCATACATTAGAAATGACTAGGTATCTTTGTAAACTATCTCCCTAGTTAGAAATTTGATGTCACTCGTAATTTAGATTATAAATGGTTAAATATCTCAATGGTATTATTAGGTAGTGAACTAAGTTTCTTACTCAGGCTGACTTTATGAACAATGCACCCAATGTTCAGCACCCAATGCGATAGGATGCATTTGGGCTGCCAATAGAGCAGCATGCTATTGATGTATGTTTTTAATTTTATTTATTTTAAATCCTAGGACATGGCTTTATCACATTTTTGTTTACAGTTTCTTTTTGTCACAAACTATGGCCATCAGGTTGAATGTTTTGTGATAATAATTAGGTGATAAATAGTATATTGTTTTGTGTGAAAAGTTTGGTCTTTGATATGAGAACCCGCCGTAAAAAAAAAAAAAACAAAAAAAAGTTTACAGTACCTTTTTGTGTGAAAAGTTTGTCTTTGATATGAGAGCCTTGTTTAAGTATTTTTATTTTTATATTTGGTTTTTGCAAAATGAGAGTCCAGAGAGATAGTTTCTTCATCTGAAATCAGTCCACAAATAAAGGAACAATATTTCATCCCTCATTTGGAAAAGGCTTTAAGTATCAATTTGTAATTTGTTGTGTATTGAGTTTAGATAACTAGGCTTAATCATTCTAATGGGATAGAGCAGTTATATTTTGATTCGCTTCCACAAGATCGAGGTGATTAGTTTGGTGGAATTTGATTGTATTTGACTGATATTTAAATTTCAATATGCTCACTAATTAACCCCTCTTATATTATTTATACATAGAGTTTTTTCTCTAAATTAATTAAATAAGTGCAATAGTTTTGCTTTTGCTATGTAGCTTAATAAACTTATAGGTGATTAAGGAGTAGTAATACCTGAAACTGATATGAAACTTTGCTTTCTATTTTTTTCTTTGATGTGATTTATTATTGGTGATTTCTCAACTTAACTGGGATGAATTCAATTTTCTAAATAAGAAGAGTTCTTGATGTTGATATTTTTGTTATTTGCAGATGAATTATTTCAGATTTAGTGTTAGATTCTAAAATACTCAGCTTCATTATTTTGGCTGTATTAATTTGCATTTACTGTTCAAATATTGCTTTCGTTATAACTATGCTGCTTGTTTGGAGTGCTTGCTTGTTCCAATTGTTTCTGCTCCCTATGTTCCCATTATTGTGAACTGTTATTAATTTTGGGTAGTGTTTTGCTTTTGTTTTTGTTTAGACATGCCATGAGTATTACAGCTTGAGGACGACACTGTTACTGTTACATGAACTCCAAGATTTTCCTAACTGAGAGACTGGCTTCTTACATAGAATTGTAGGCTGAAAACTCTATTTTGCTGAAGAGCTATGGTAAATTGCATTTCTTGGACATGATCTTTGTGGTGTTTAATTTTGAGCTTTACATTTTTGTGAAACAGATTCTAGTTTAACTAGAATTTTTCATCAATATTGTTGCTGTTTCAGGATGTTGTGAAACAGCTTTACATTTTTGTGAAAGAGCTTTACATTTTTCATCGATATTGTTGCTGTTGCAGGATTTTTTTCATCGCTATTGTGAAACAACTTTACATTTTTGTGGTGTTTAAGATTGATGTTGTTGTTACAGGATGCTGATCAAGCTCCATCTTGCGTTGTTGCTCCATAATATTGTTGCTAATGTTGTTAGTCCATGATGATGAGGATCTACAAACATCTAAGGGTGTTTTGTGAATTCAAGGCCAACAATGATTCGAAACAATATGAACTTTGCTTTACGCCCCTTGCAGCTAATTGGAGATCGATTGATTGAAGTTTTTTTTTTTTTTTTTTGTTGAAGAAATGAGCAGATTTATTCCACTAGCTAGTACACGCTAGTCATGAGTGAAGTGTAGGTTGGAATTATTATTTCTTGTACTACCTAATAGCAAACTCATTACAATGAGATATTGTCCATGTACTATAACATATTCATATGCAATAACAAAATTGGCTTAATTTTGCTGTGTGTATATTGGTAATACTAGTAAATTTTTAGTGTGAAATAATTTTTTTGGTAATTATATTCTAGATATTTTTGTAAAGAATCTGGACAAAAAAAAAGTCACAAACAATGAGAATAAAGACAGAAATAAGCGTCGCAAATATATAAAACATCTAATATATAAGACTATGGACACCAATAAAGCGTCGCCAAATTTGAGGTTTCAGACACAAAAAAGCGTCGATAAACTTGAGAAAGTGCGCCAAAACTGCAAATTTCGACGCTTCGTATAAAAATTTGGACGTCTTAAAGCGTCGGGATTTGCGACGCTTTTTGTGACGCCTAATTTTCTCGACCCACATATTACGACGCTTTTTTGAAGCGTCGAGAAATATATTTTCGACGCTTTTTAGCGTCGAAAAATAGCTTGAAAAGCGTCTTAAAAGGATGGAAAAATAGCTTGAAAAGCGTCTAAAAAGGACGGATTTTCTAGTAGTGTATGTATATCAATCAGTACATTTTTTACTTATCATATAACTAATATATAAATTTAAACTTTTAGCTAGACGACGAGACAACGACACTTGGTGTTTCAACTTTTCGCCAAGTGTCGCCCCACGTAGGATAGAGTTATATAGAATTCAATTTGTAGGATAAAAAAAATTAGTTTATAATTCTATTTTCAATCAAATTTCGATAGAATTTTAGGATAAAATTGTTAATTTAGAGTTTTATTTTCGATAAAGTACCAATATTTCATATGTACACATTGAATTATTATTTTATTCAAAAAATAATTAGATTATAACTCTCATAAATTATCATATAAATTTATTTTTTGTATCATAATTTTTTTAGAGAGAAGGAATTAGTTCAAAATACACCACATCTATTATTTATAATATATTCTAATCAATTTAAATAATATATATACTTCACAATCTAATATAATTTTATTATTGTGTGTAGACCAATCATTGTCAATCGGATCTGTTCACAAGTCATTTCAAACAGGGTCATTATTTCAGGTTACGGGTCAAGAAGTATTTTTCAACAATATTATTATTATTAATCATCACATGTCTATTACATAGCTTAAATTGTCACAAAAACACATCAATTCCTAACTAATTTTGTATCAACGATATATTTTAAAATTTGACATATAGATTAAAAATTTATCTTAAAATTCAATAAACAACCCGGACATCGCACGGGCACAGAAACTAATAAATAATTAAACTTATAAATAATTGAATTTTTGCATAACAAATAATATGATAAACGTGTGAACTAAAAAACAGCCGAAGTAAAGTATACATGCTAATATATATCAATGTATCATATGATATATTTTGTTCTGTCTAGTTAGAGATTAACCAAAGTAAAATAAAATTCAATAGTGCTACTATATGTACAGTTTCTAGTATACTTTTTGTTTTAGTTGGAACCGTACAAATGTAAACTTGATTTTTTAAGGGTAAGAAAACAGAATATATTATGAATCCCTCCTTATGAGGGAAATTCCTAATGCATGCATCAGAATTGAAGAAATAATAGAGTATAAAGATAAGGAAGTACAAAGAGTAATGTCCATGTAAACTTACTTGTATGTCATTAATTCTAATGCATATCTATCTAGAAATTAAACTGTACGTACAAATGTGAACTTGCTTGTACGGATTCTAATGTAATGGGTTTAGAGCTTAGGTGAGGGGTACATTTGGTTCATACCAATACTTTTAGGTATTAAATAAAAGGAAAAAAAAGCTTCATTTCAAGATCAAACCAAATATATGGTATTAAGATAGAATCAAGTTCCAAATTACATATGTTATGGTTTAATTTCAAATTCTAATCTCATACTATTCCATGCATTCGGATAACTAATCACTCCTTCATTTGATTTCTATGGAGAAAATGAAAGAAATTAAACCCCTTGTATGGGGAGATATGCGAAATGGGCTGACATATTTATAAATACGGATATGGACTCAATATAATTATCAAATGGGCTAATATGTTCCATAAAACAGACATGTCGGCTTGTTGGTTCTTGGCACGTGGCAGCATCAGCTTGACACTTGGCAAGAAAAGCTCTGCATGTCATGTAGCCACCTGTCATGAAGAGTATTATAAATAGCAGGTTAAGCTTCATTAATGAGGTTAACATTTATTACTCTCTCTTCTTTCTCTTTCTTCTTTCTCTCTCTAACTTTTCTTCTCTTTCTTAAACACTAGCTGACTTTATCATCGGAGTGGTTATCCCCGGATCACCCCGGGGTTAGCTAATCTCAGCTCATTGTGTAGGTTCTCAGCTTGCCGATAGGAGTATCACGGATCTCGGGCTCGGGCTCTTGGGTTGTCGGATCCTGAAAGAAACAATTTGGCGCTAGAAGGAGGGGACAATGATCACTTCTATCGCTTAAGAACCTCACATAAAAATATATATACAATGGCTGGAAATCAAGAAACACCTGTGATTAGTAGAGTAATAAATCAACTGATAGTAACAAGGAATGAAACAACACAACCTGAAATTGAGGTAGAGGATTAGACCCACACTTAGGAAGGTAATCAATTCCACATGCCGTTAACCCCAGAAAGGCAAGTGGAGACAACAGTAGACCCTATGGTTGAGTTTACACTGGAAGATTTGGAGATAGCAACTAGGGTAATGAGTGCAATGAGTAAGAAAAGGAAAGAAGTTGAGACTAACGAGGGGAAAACTAGGTCGTTATCTAATCTTCCCTCGGTCAAACTAAATTTATAAACACTTAACAAACCCTAATACGAGTATAGAGGCAAGTCAAGGATCGAACCCAAAGGAACGGTAATGTTCAAGCACTTTCAATTATGCCCCTAAGCTAGGTCAAAGACGAAGGTAAGAGAGAATACTAACAACTAACAAAACAAGTAACCAAGGAAATAAAACACTAGGAACGGGGATCAACAAGTAATCATGTCAATTGCAACAACTTGGGAAGAGCATGCCAATCAAAGGTTGTGAGGACTAATGATAAGAGCAATCAATAGGAATCAAAGAGCTATCTCTTAATTGTTAATCTAGGGTTCACTATGAATAACAAACTAAGAGAATCACAATCAAAACCAATCGATAATTGCAATTCCTAAATCAATTGTTCATGTCATTAGCAATTACAATGCAATCTAGCATAATTCTCAAGGCCTAATTGAATTACACACATGCAAACCTTCACTAATCACTTTAATCTCAACAATCAATCAACACAATTCCCAAATTAATCACAATTAATCAATCATACAAGTTTCACCCAATTCCTAGCCAAACAACTATTCAAGAATCATCATCTATCAACTAACAACTATGGAAATCAAGAATCAACAAAATATAAAGAACATTACACTAATCAAGCATCAAACATCAAAATTAAAACAAACATGAAATTAAACTAAGCAATAAGGTGAGATAGAGTTAAGAATGCTCATTGATAATAGAGAAGATCTTGAACACAATTATCACCCTTGTATCTTCAATCTCTCAATCACCATTGAAATCCTTCACTTTCTCTCTCTAAAACTACTCCTAATCTAGCCTAATCTAGAGAGAGAAGCTCTTAAACTAAGAGATAAACTATTCTAAATACTAAGAATGACATGAATGAATGATAATAAAACCCCCCCAAAACAATTTATAAACAAAAGGAGAAAAGAAACTTAAAATCGTAAAAGACCCAGAAGTCCGCGCCCTCGGAGAAGTCGGTCGCGCCCGCGGACAACCCGGAAGCCGCGCCCGCGGCCAAAGCCTGCGCCTGTGGCCAAAGCCTGGGCCCGCGGGGCCAAGGCCCGCGCCCGTGGGGAGCCCGCGGCCAGCCTGCGGAGAGTTACTGCCCAAAATCGGCAGAAATAGGTTGCGACAGATTTGCAGGGCCAACTTTGGAAGGCTGTAACTCACGATCCAGGAATTGTATGAAGGCATGAAACTATCATTGGAAATCTATTCAAGTCTAGTTTCCAACCTAACTTGAATCACCTCAATCCGATCTATAGAACTTGAGATATGGCCGAAACAATGCACAAAGTTCCTTTTTGATACTTTGTAAGCCTTCATTTTTCTTTGTTTCTTGGATTGGCTTGACATGCGTGCTTGGATTCCCTAACTTGGATCCGTTAAATTCCTTGAATGCACTTGAGCTCCCTCCTTGATGATTAAATCTCGGGAAGCTCGACACACCTACAAAACAAGTCAAACGAACGGAGAAGCGAGGGAAATAGCCGAGAAATGAATAAAATAATAAGAAAACCACTAAAAGCACGCATTTCTCTAAAATAACACACAAACACGCAAATCAAGCATTATTCCCTAAAAACACGACATAAACTACTAAAAACAAGCATAGAAATATAAAGAAAACATAGCTTAAAGGTGCCATAAATGGCATGGATCAGAGACAACCCAGGTTGGAGAAGGGGCGCCGATAACAAATCATGGAGTACAGTTCAATCAGGTAGCCAACTCACCACGGCGCCGCCGGGAAGAGTCACCGACAAGGACACACACAACCCCGCTGATGACAGAAGATCAATCCTCAAGTCATGCCATTAGCACAAGAACCCAGCGACAGAGAAGTTCCCAAGTTGAAGGGCAAGCAGTACAAACTGTGGTTCAGTTAAGGGAATCACCATTTGCACAGAGTATCTTGGATCAGCCAATGGAGAAAATAAAAATGCCGACCTGTAGGTATGATGGAAGAGGGGATCCCAGCCGGTTCATACCGTCCTATGAGGGACATATGATCTTGTACACCAATTCAGATGCCGTTTGTTTTAAGGTTTTTTCGACTACTTTGACTGGGGCTGCAACAGATTGGTTCAACAATCTGGGAAATGGAACGATAGATAGCTTTGAGAGGCTAATAGAGATGTTTGTGGGGCAATATATCATTAATAGTGTGCGACAGAGAACTTTAGGAGAATTGATGGCAGTGGAGCAAAGGCCAGATGAGTCTTTGAAGGATTACATTCGGCGATTTAATAATGACGCAA